CCCCCCCACTCATTGTTTTTATTTGCGTACTATTTCACTTGTTTGCACACTTGAATTATAAGATAAATAAATACATAAATAAATATTTTTTTCAGCATTTAATTTTTAAATAAAAAATATCAAATATATATTTGTTTTAATAAAAAAATAAAATAAAACATTGTTCATTGTGAATTCATGTTTGGTCAAAATACATTTAATGTTAATTTGTATAACTTGAAATTTTAAGAATGTATCAGAATATGTAGAAATTAACATAAACATCAACCAATAATGCTGTAATTGTAGTGTTCTTAGTTCAAACCTTATTGTAAAGTGTTACCATTAGCGAGTAACACAATATCACAACACTTTCTTTTAAAAGTAACCATCTCCAGCACAGACTTCTACTGTGTCCTTGAGAAAGTTACTTGACCCTCTGGATACTCTGGAGGTCTGCGTAATTGCCCTGTGCTTTAAACCCATCTTCTGGTCTGTGTGAGATGATAGGAGGGTGACGGCAAGATAAAAATACCTAGGCCTGTGTGTGATAGACTAGAAATAAAATGTATCCAAAAATAGCAAGCCTTGTTCACATTTTCAAACAATGTTTCAAATTCAGATTCAGTATCTGATGGCCCAAATTAGTTTCTGAAGGCTGCATGCTGGAGACTGCCGGTGTTCCTCTGAGCACAGCTAACAGGCAACTCACATTTGGAAGCACCGACAGGATCTCCAGAAGAGGCCGAGGGTTGAGCAAGGGGCTTGAGATGAGGTAAATGAAAAGCTTGTGCTTGGTTTTAAACAGAACAGTGCACAGAGCCGTGGTCTGATTGTCCAACAAGCACATGGGCCCGAGACTCTCTCTCTCTGAGATTGCATTGTGTCTCTGCCTGTATGGTGGGACATACATTATTCAGCACTCCCAGGATGCCTCGCTGATGAGCCACAGTGCAAGCGCTAGGAAATGGGATGAGAGAACGAGAGAGAGAGAGAGGCAGACAGAGGAATGCCCTTTTAATTTCTGGTGAATAAAACAGGAGCTCCAACAATACTGTGAGGGAACCAATAGAGTTTTGTTCCTTATTGTGCAGTTGTCTTTGAATCCTTGGCAAAGCGATTTTTTTTTCTTGGCTCAGAAGAGGAGATTGCGCTGTCAAGGTCTCGTGTCTTTTTCAGACGGAACCGCTAGTAACAAAGGAAAATACATATCAATAAATACCAGTTAGAGAAAGAGAGCAAGTTATTTTAGAATATGAGATGACAGGGTGACGTATTCCACATGGTGCTGGGCTGGAACAATAGCTGCACAAATCCTGAGTTTGAAGGAAATTTTCAAAACCAAACTTTATTTCATGAGTGAAATAGGCAAGGGCACTGTTCCACTTTAGTTTGCATGAATGTTGTAGTACAGGGCGTGCAGACTGCAAAGTCGCTCTGAATGCTATCGGACTATCATTGTACTGCCTTTTAAATATCTTATGCACATAATGAGAGTCAAAGTAATATCCATCATTTCCCTTTCCCTTCTAACCTCAATGTCCCTTTTATATAGCTCACTGTGCTTGTGTGAATGTGTGTGGGTCAGGTTTTTCCTACATTTCGGGGAACAAATGTCCCCACAAGGATAGTAAAAGCTGAAATGACCTACATTGTCAGGAGCAGCCAATGGTCCCCATGAGGGAAATGGCAATAAACATGGGTGGTTGACATTATATACTTTTGGGACGTTAAAATGTCCTAGTGAGAGACCTGCACTATTCAAACGAAGGCCAGGATTAACAAACAATTATCGCAAGGACCCTCAGATGGTAATTAAGCATGTCTATAGATAGTCAGCCTTAAAGCAATGGCAGGGACTATTTAAACAAAGCGAACCATCCAGACATTTAAAGAACAAGGCATACAGATTTTAAGATGAGGCTATGTGAGAATTGCTATGTATCTTGATTAGGATTTCGCCCCAGGGTGACAGGAGCTGTTAAGAAACATAACCATGCATGACTATTCAACAGCAAGTTACTCGTTCCAATCCTTCAGCATCTTTCTTTGTTATTTAAAATAAGTGATTATGGAGGGCCGCTGTCTCGATACGGCATCAGAGCAGCCTGAGTATTAAACTAATGTTCAGAAGTGACAGGTAGTTTTGTGATCCACACTAAGCCATTCTGTGCAGCAGGAACCTAGGCACGAAATTGAATTTTTCATGCACCATTGCTTCTGTGACCTCATCTCTTGGTATCTGCCCCATAAAAAATAAATAAAACAATTACGTTTTGTAAGAGCTGGGTGAGAAAGTTCTTAAGTCTGCATTAAATGCTTTTTTCATGTTCCAACCTTGGTAAAATTAAAGGGGAAGTTTAACCAAAACTGAATATTCTGTCATCATTTAATCACCCTCATCAATCATCAATTTGTTGTTCCAAACCTGCAAGACTTTTGTTCATCTTTGAAACACAAATGAAGACATTTTTAATGAAACATGAGAAATTTCTGTTCCTCCACTGAAAGTCCATTCACCCAAAACTTTGATGTTTTAAGATCATAAAGACATCATAAAAGAAACCTATATGAATTAAGTGATTTAATCCAAGTCTTCTGAAGAGACACAATCACTTTGTGTGATTTAATTGATACATCTGATACATCTACATGGAGCACATCAAATATGGTAAAAAATAAGCTCAAACATGCTTGTTGGATGCATGAGAACCAATGAACCAATATCTTAATTTGAGTTTCAAAGATCACAAATGGGTCAAACCCAAAGTCTTACTGGTTTGGAAAACATGACATAATTATAATGTTTGCATGAACTATCCCTTAAATTGTTTAAAGACAATGACATTTAGCTTTTGAAAGTTAACAAATTAAATGTATTTATTTATTGTTTGGTTGTTATAGGTTATAAGTAGTCATACATGTTATTATAGGGAGAATGGGGCAAGTTGTCACAACTCGAATTACATAAATGTTTATTTTCTCTATCAGAAGTTTAGTATGTTGGTTGGTTTCAGACATCTAGTTTAAAACCACCTTATATTAAAATAATACTAAAAACTAAAAAGTAACTGAGCGTTTGCTTTTTAAATTTAGATATGCAATGGCATGTTCTTTTTTTACTTACCCCGTTTAGTTTTACAACATACTTCAGTTTAGGTCAATGTTTGTGTGTTTGTGTGTGTGTGTGTGTGTGTGTGTGTGTGTGTGTGTGTGTGTGTGTGTGTGAAATGTAGTTTTAAAAATACAGAAATTGAGTTTATTCAATAGCTTTTTTTTTTTTTTGAGAATGTTCAATAACTTTTTAGTAGGTAGTACTTTAAGGCATGTACTTAAAGTACAGAAATTGAGTTTTAAAAATAAACATACCCTGCGAAATAGTCACTAGAGTAAAATGTGGCAAACTGCGATTTTCTTCTTTTCTGGTCTTCTTTTCTTCTCTGGTCTGGTTTCTGTTGTCTTTTGTTATAGCTTTTTATTTTAATTTTTTATTTTTTTAAGTAGGGGCATTTGAATTCACCAATTAAAGGCTCCTAAAAAAAACTCTCTGCACGCCTCGCTCAACCTAACCTCGTTTCTTGTCCCTCACGTAGGGCTGACAACAGCAGAAAACACACATTTTCAGTCATGTTCTTAATCTGAAGCTATTTGGCTCAAGACAATTTCCTTATTGTACCTCTCTGCTCTGCTGCTTTCTCCATCACCTACTTCACCAATCTGAAATAATAAAAGAGAGCCAGAAACCCTGGGCGTCTATAAGCGTCCCAAAGAAAGAAAGGAGCAAGAGAGTGTAAGAGTATGCTAGTGTTCCTCATCCACCCACCTCCCTGTTCCCAGACGAAAGAAAGAAAAGCAGCATGAGAGATTTCTAAATGGATGAAAGAGGGTTGGGTAGTCCTCATGTGTGCGGGAATAATGGCTTTGCTGGAGGGAGCCAAAAGACTACAAGATTGTGTCGCATTTATGAAAACCTTCATTAAGTATATGAAAGGTTGTGAAATTCTTCCCGGGGACTGTAGGCGTCTATACAGAGAAGGGCACTTTGGCTATTGTGTTTAGTGCCAGAGTAACCTCTGCTGTGCTTAAACATCTTAATGCTACTTGCAATTCAAATAGCCAACACTTACCTAAATTGTTCTGTGTATGTTCAATAAATGCCCCCTCCTGAACGTCATTATTAGCACATGAATCAGTTTAACCAGCTTTATAAAATTGTTGACAGTTTCATGGTACATCGACAATTAATCTGAAATGTGATACGGTTCCGCTGCGTCACCTTTTGCAGTACACATTTAGTTCTTCATGGCACATGTAATGCTGCACCATGAGATAAAAGTCTGATGTAATCCTTATGGTCTTAGAAGAAGAAATTCAGGGTACAACAGCAGATCCCAGTGCTATCAGGCAAAGAATCAAAGCTTTATGAGTAAACAGTGTCAAACCTCAATATTATGATCCACTGGTGGTTTATAAGACAATGCAGCTGGCACAACAGCATCTCAGAAAAACAACTCCACTCCCCCCAGACTTCACTTCCTCACAGATAAACTGACGGGTTTCTTTACACTGGCTCTTTCTGAGTTACACAAGAAGGTATGTTTGTGATCTTATTTCACGACTGCATGCAGTATACCACTCACAACGTCACTGTTACAGCAAGTGCAAAAAAGTGCATAAAAAAATAAATTAAAAGCAGAAAATATTTAACTTCATATATTTAATTTTAATATAAGCACAGACATTATTAATTTTCAGTCAATAAATAGTATACCTACATTAAGCAAAGATGTGTTTTGAGTGATTGGTGTCATGATGACAGCAGGTATATTGAATAATATATAAATATACTTCTAAAATATGCTTTTAAATACATTTAAAAACTCTGGATAACTGAGTTACTACTAAACGGTCAATCATCCACTGTACTATAAAGTTTTTTCTTTTTTTTTTTTTTTTAAATCATTGCTGTCCAAGACGCATCAGGAGATTAGCATGTACACAACAAATGCAATATAGTCACATATTGTTTTTATTTTAAAAAGGGACAATGCACATTAATTAACATGAGGACTGAAGTCCAATATATAAATGAGCCAGATGTAGCAATACAAGCTTGATGGAATTATATATATATATATTAATTTAAATAATAACAGTTAATAGTGAAAGAAAGAAATAAAGAAAGAGAGAGAAAGAAAGAAAGAAAGAAAGAAAGAAAGAATTAATGAATGTGGGCTTATGGGCTAAAATTTCCAAGCTTTTTTTTTTTTTCATGGAAACAAACACAACAAAAACTGACCCCTTAAAAACCAGAATAGCACAGGATGCAGCTAAATCCACAAGCTCAACAGTGTGCCTTCAAATAGCCTCTCAAGCAGAGAGCATAACAAGTGGGTTTCTAGGGTTTATCACTGCATCTACTCTGTGTGGAGTTGCAGCATGTACTCAATGCAGAGTTAGAACATACTGTTAAAAAGTTACCTTATAATATTGTCTGACCTTATAACAAGACAGTCATAACTTGCACTATATATACAAACATACATATACATACATGTGTTCTGTAGTTGCAGTGGTTGAGCAGGGGAGGAGGCAGCCATCGGTATTCTCATCCTCCCCTTCACCTGCTGTTGAGTCCTTGATCCTGACCTGCTGTGCATTTAATTTCATCTTAACGAAAATGCAAATATGTCTAATAAGGTAATATTCTGAGATGTTTGTGTGCAGGAGAAGTGTACACGCTATGGAAAGTATAAAACAAGGACTGTTGTGTACTCAGTATAGCAGACAACATGCTGAGCGACACTGGTTAAGATCTTCTATACTTATAACATTTTACTGGCTTTTTTGTGCTGCTCTAATCATCCATCATGATTCTATGGCACTGTGCCCACTACACGTAAAACAGTGGTGGTACGTGGCCAGTGTATTAATATGCAGCTGGGATAAAGAGTGTGAATTCATAAGGGAACAGGCTTGGGTGCAGTGCAGTAAACTCGTCATTTTCCCTGTAAGATTGTCAGAGGACATGTGACCTCCAAACACGCTGTGTTATGCATCATGCATGTATTTTAGTAAGCTTAATTGCTTCACACCACATGAGAAAAGTCTACTGGTTTGTGGTCATCATAGGGAGACATTCGCTCAACAACAAAGACAGGAGCGACGGCTTGACTTAGTACCACTGCAACACAGTGCAACAAGGTTAAGTTCACCTTAATAAAAGTTTAAGGAGCCATCAATGTTTAAATATCACTTTTACAGCATGCATTTGCTGTTAACCAATGCAATCCTCATGTCGACCAAATAGCAATTCATAATTACAATAATAAGAATTATAAAACATATAGTTTAGGGTATAAATTTTAATTAGATGAGCCCAATTTTGTAAAATGTAAACAGTCAACAGTTAGGCTACTAAACTGTATTACTTTGTGGAGCTTATTTTGATTATTACGATTAATAAATATAACTATTAAATGAACATTGGTTTTATCATATTGCTGTTGCCTGTTAAACAAAGGGTAAATGAAGGGTGAAATACATGTTAACGCTTGTAAAACGACTGTACACAGCGAAAATAAATAAATTTAACTTGTTTTCCAGTAAAAATAGCTCAACATACTTTAAACAAAATCAATTTATTGCACAAAATTAACATATTAACAGAATATACACAATGTATATTTTATCTTCAGTACTCATAATTGCGGATTAATTAATCCTTTCCTTGTTTAAAGCATAAACCTCACAATTTTTTTTTTAGATTTATGCTATTTAATTAAACAACCCTATAAATCCTACTGTATCATATTTGATACACAAATTTCTAAGGCAAATATCAAATATTTGCTGCTGTACACAATTTCTACATGCCTTCTGTTGTCTGATTGAAGGTTCATATTTTTTTAGCAAATAAAAGCCTTTTTTTATTTTTTAAAGGTTCAATAAATTGTTCCATTTATAATGTACATTAAAATTTAATTTTCTGACTATTTTTCATATGTCAGGCTTTACATAATTCACAACTGAAAGATATATTCAAATTAATTCAAAATATCTTGATTTAAGCATCGTTTAATATCTTTTACAAGAAAACAAGACAAAAAAAAAAGATTAATAAAATTATTTTTGGCATGGCCTCTTGTGGCTTATTGCTTAAATAGGCCAGCACTCTAAAATCTACAGTGTGACGAGGACAGCGAATGACATTTTGCAGATTGATGTATGTCGTAAGGTGATATCTTTTAATCACAGCTTGG